ATCTCACTCTGTTGGACTGGGTTCTGTTTGGAAGTGACATCTTACTCTGTTGGACTGGGTTCTGTTTGGAAGTGACATCTTACTCTGTTGGACTGGGTTCTGTTTGGAAGTGACATCTCACTCTGTTGGACTGGGTTCTGTTTGGAAGTGACATCTTACTCTGTTGGACTGGGTTCTGTTTGGAAGTGACATCTTACTCTGTTGGACTGGGTTCTGTTTGGAAGTGACATCTCACTCTGTTGGACTGGGTTTCTGTTTGGAAGTGACATCTTACTCTGTTGGACTGGGTTCTGTTTGGAAGTGACATCTCACTCTGTTGGACTGGGTTCTGTTTGGAAGTGACATCTTACTCTGTTGGACTGGGTTCTGTTTGGAAGTGACATCTCACTCTGTTGGACTGGGTTCTGTTTGGAAGTGACATCTTACTCTGTTGGACTGGGTTCTGTTTGGAAGTGACATCTGACTCTGTTGGACTGGGTTCTGTTTGGAAGTGACATCTCACTCTGTTGGACTGGGTTCTGTTTGGAAGTGACATCTTACTCTGTTGGACTGGGTTCTGTTTGGAAGTGACATCTCACTCTGTTGGACTGGGTTCTGTTTGGAAGTGACATCTGACTCTGTTGGACTGGGTTCTGTTTGGAAGTGACATCTCACTCTGTTGGACTGGGTTCTGTTTGGAAGTGACATCTCACTCTGTTGGACTGGGTTCTGTTTGGAAGTGACATCTTACTCTGTTGGACTGGGTTCTGTTTGGAAGTGACATCTCACTCTGTTGGACTGGGTTCTGTTTGGAAGTGACATCTCACTCTGTTGGACTGGGTTCTGTTTGGAAGTGACATCTCACTCTGTTGGACTGGGTTCTGTTTGGAAGTGACATCTCACTCTGTTGGACTGGGTTCTGTTTGAATCCCATTACACTGGTCTACTTTTACTAGTAGATCTGGAGATAGTGGTCCATATCCAGTTATCCACAAATCACCGTTTGGCGGTGTTCTGTGTAGTCTACAGTCTTTTGAAGTACTTTATTTTTAATTCACCCCAAAACAACGGAAATCCTGCTGTTTCCGGGAATGTCCAATAGTCTAGGGGTAACCTGGGTTGGGATGGTATGATAGAATAACTAATGTACAGCTTTGGGAGAGAACTAAACAGGCTCCAGAAGGTGAGGAAAAGGCGTTGGATAGGACACACTGAGAAAAGATAACTAGAATGTCTTTGCATTGGAACCCACAGGGGCATAGGAATAAAGGAAGGCAAAACAGAAAGAAAAAAAAAACCACATGGAGAAGAGAGCTGGAGAATTAATTAGAAAGATGGAGAGAGCTCAAGGTAATATCGTAGGATAGAACGACTTGGAGTGAGTTGGTTGAGGGCCTATGCTCCATTGGGGGATAGAAAGGCAGAAGAAGAATATGGGTTGGGGTTAAGGTTAGTCGGTGTTGCTGAAGCGGTTGGGGCTGACAACGATCCTATCCGTAACCCCAACCAATAACCTCTATAGAATACTGGACTTTCCGGGGAACTCCATGGATTTATTTCCTTTGTTTTTTAGTGAACTTCGTATTATTCTATTAAAAATGACCTTGGCTCCCAGGTCGACCCAGCCTTGAGTGGGTACCGGGTGCAGTTTCGGGAAGTAAAGGCGGTCGGTGTGATGTTGATCACATCGCTCATCTTGTACCGATTGGTCTATAAAAATGTAGGTCTAGCCCTATATGCCCTATACGCCTAAAGGCGTGGAAAAAGGATCCTTTACTTTTTCTTATTTTTGTGTCTTTTAATTCCCAGTGGAGCATAGGCCTTCAGCGAACTCAGGCTAGCCTTTGCAATCGCAGACAGCTTACCTCATAGGCCTTCAGCGAACTCAGGCTAGCCTTTGCAATCGCAGGCAGCTCACCTCATGTCTTCCTCATCTGTTTACATTCACTCTCTAGTTCCCCGTGTGCTTTTCTGGTCTACCCTTTTTTTATTTTGCCCCTGTGTGTTCCAATTTAAAACCCATTTAGTTATACTGTTTGCAGGTTTTCTCTGTGGAAGTTCTGTTCAACGTCAGCGTCTTTTCCTCACCTTTTGATCCACTTGAATTTGTTTAGCCCCCCCCCCCCCCCCCACCCAAAGCTCAACATTTGTAATTATATCATATCCTTTAATTCCTGTATTTTGTACAGGCACTAGTTAATAAAGGTTTGTAGTTTATGAGTACAGCAGTTTTAGTTGTAGGTCTGGAAGCATTTGTCGAATTATAAAAATCCCGATTCGGTGTGGATTCGAACCTTAGACTTTCGGGATAGCGCTCAACGACAATAACCACGGCACCCGGAATGTAAAGACTGAAGTAGCAAACATATGATAAGAAGGGCTGCCAATAGGATTTTTTTAAAATCAAAACCCAAGCTAAGCTGGAAAAAAAAACATGCAATAAATAAGCAAAGAACCAAACACATAAACAGAAACCCAAGAATGAAAAAAAAAAAGTACAAATTTGATAGTTACGAAAAGAAACATTTACCCTCTTTTTATAAAAGGATTTTTGTAATCCTAACATTCCAAAATCTGCACCCAAGGCGTCAAAAAAAATAATAATTCAGATCTTGGGGGGAAACCCAAGTATTGGCAGTCCTGGTGATAAGGAAAAGGTTAAGACGAACAAATGGTAATAATGACAGGGGAGAAGAAGTCAGTGATTGAGAAGCAAACCCCACGGCTAACCAGTAAAAGCGCATGCGACCTCGTCTCTACCAATGGTTATCTGATACTAGTCCCGTGCAGGGGCGGGGCGGGAAAACTAGGCGAAGCGTAGATTCCGTTGCCGTATCCACACGAATTGTCATCAAAGCCGTGAATATTTCGCTGGGCGCAAACCGCGTCATCTATCCACTTCCCATTAGCGAAAGCTTTTATTATTGTTTCCAGCCCATTGGTCGACCCCCTTCTCTCTCGGGACACGGTTGTTGTTCCGGCTATCAGAGAAACAGACTATACTGTGAGGGAAAGGTCGTCCGCGTAACCTCTGACCTTGCTGACTCAGCCTCGCGTGAAAGCAAAACAGTGACATATTTTTAATATGTGCAGTAAATTTTATGGGCTGAACTGCCGTGAACTGGTGGAAGGGGAGCCACCCCAAGTGTCGTCATCTAGAATGTAACAGAAAGGAGGGTAGGCTCCGCTCCTGCATGCCACCTGACCTTGCTTCGCCACTGGTTGGTAGTCGTGTTTCTCCACACCCGATTCCATTTCCGATACAGACCAGCTTTCTTTCCATGATACCGAACCGTCCAGATTCTTCTTCTTCTTCTGCTTCTGCTTCTTTTTCTTCTTCCTCTTCTTTTTTTTTCTTCTTCTTCTTCTTCTTTTTTCTTCTTCTTGTTTCTCCTTCTTCTTCTTCTTCTTCTTCTTCTTCCTTAAAACTTACTTACTTAAAAGCGCGATTGACACATTATGTAGTTTCCTACGACATCTGCACCTTACGGCCCCAATATTCGATTTCAGCAAATACTTAATTTGCGTTTTTTTACAACACACTTGTTAAGGGGTAGTGCGGGAAAGGGGTAGTGCGATTAAGGGCTAGTGCGGGTAAGGGGTAGTGCGGGTTAGGGGTAGTGCGGGTAAGAAATAGTGCAGTTTTAAGGGGTAGTGCGGGCAAATGTTAGTGCCGTTTAAAGGGGTAGTGTTGGTAATGGGTAGTGCGGGTAAGGGCTAGTGCTGTTAAGGGATAGTGCGTCGTTTATTCCCCCCCCCCTCCCAAAATGGAGTTCCTGAACCCATGAAGAGAATGTTAAGGGCAAAGGTCAAGCATCTTCTCCTTTTTGGTTTCCGCAAAGTACAGTTGCCCTGTGCCCCGTCGGTTGAGATTTATCTTTATTTGTTTATTGTTTTTCCCTCAATATCGATTTGAAAAAATCCAGTGACTTTTATATCTGCTGTTTAAATTGTTCCGAGATGGATGTCATTTAAAAGTACAAATAAGGACTCTTTTCTACGCCTGCAGGCGTATTGCATATGGTGCTTTTTTTTTTTTTTAAATCTACAATCGGCACACGGGGGATGATGTGGTCAATATCATGCTGGTCGTCTTAGCTTCGCGGCACTTTACTTGATACCCATTTTTTTTTTAAAATATCCAGACACGATGAGTTGTTAACCCTTTGGCTCGGTACTATGGATATCGCAAACTTTCGGCCTTGATTCCATGGTAGATACCGTAAATCTGGAAGAAATGTGGCTTTTCTGCCTACCATCGGGCGTGAACCCGGACCACAACGAGTTCGTCACCAGGTCGTGGCGAAGTAAGGTTTAACCAAATACGCTAGCGAGTCGGGCTTAATACCCATTGAAGGCTGGGTAGCTTAAATAAAATTGTGAGCCAAGATCAGTTTTGAAAATGTCTGGAGCTCCGAACTCAGGGCTTTCTGTCCGCAGGCGAGCGGATAACCCGCAACACCTCATGTCATTTAAAGATGTTCATTAAATAGGTAAAAAGTAAAGTTTGTCCTCCTATTTACACACTGTTACACACTGTCTCACTTCTGAGTGGTCGACCTTCAGCCTAGCTCACTTCTGATTGGTTGATTTTGAACCCAGCTCACTTTGATTGGTCGACATTGAGCCACTCACCTTAACACAAGGTTAAAGGGGTGTTTTGAAGTGCCGTTGATATCGCATGTTGTATATTTTAGCACGCTAGCGCTTTTAACACTCTAAAAACATGGACAAACTGGGTCTAACACACAACCCCCTAGAGGGAGCTGCAACCTATGTCACATGCATTCTCTTTCTTAGAAGAAAAGCGTAAATGCGAGACAAGTCAGAAAGCAAACAACAGAGCGTCACAATCGTAACCCACAGGAAAGTACCAGTCCAACAAAGTTGTTAAGTGAAACGTGACCTACTTTGTTTGGAGAGACTAACGTTTGTTTAAATCTTAAATACTTGCTGCAAGGTTGTGTGGTTGCTAACTGATGTTGTTTTAACTCTGTTTACCGCTCTGCTATGTCACACAGGACGGGTCAGAGCGAACCATGGAGTCGCTGTCTCTGATAGACGCCGTCATGCCGGACGTAGTCGAGTCCCGGAAACAGGCGTTCACCAAGAGCAGCCAGGTCAAGGCCGAGCCAAGTAATACAAACGGTGACGGGGGAGCACACGCGGCTG